CCAAATACACTTGGTCTTCAATAGCTTAATAATGGTATTTATATGCTCTTTGGTTTCACTATTAGGATGACAGGAAAAAAAATAGGACTACAGCTAGTAAAGTTAAAACCTCACTGTACAGTATGAAATACGCATTTAAACATTTTATAATGAAAAACCAACTGTATTAAATTATGGCTTTCAAAATCAGAAGAACTGGCTTTAAAAGTTTTTTCTATTCTTTTATAGGGTGTTGGCAAAAACCTTGTATTAGAGTTAAACTTACACACATAAGCAATAAATGTGACACATCTTGGGCACAAACCACTCTGAAATCCCCCAGAGAACCTTTAAATAAACAACAAATCTAAAACTCTAAATTTCACATAGTACCCCCAAAAGCAGCATTTATCAATGAACTCATGATAGGCAAACAAATTCCATCCACAACAGTGACTTTAAAAAGACAGAAGTCCCAGTTACCAGCATCACTTGAAGTACTTTTACCAAATATAGCACAGTCAATAATAGTGTGACCTGTCACTCAGTCGTACTTAAGAGTAAAAGAGAAAGAAGGCAGAGAAAATTTATCTGCCAGCTGCTCTTGGCTCCCTTCCTAATATTCGGACATTCACATGTATAAAAAGAGCAAGCTCCCTCAACACCCTCTTCTGCTATGGTTATGGCTGTTTTAATGTTGAAGAAGCACCTGTTTAACAAAGTTAAGTCAATGATTTAAAGAACAACTTAAATTTATTTTAGTAAATAGAAACTTCTAGCTTATATTTAAATGTTTTAACTAAAACAAAAGTATATTAATTATTCTAAGGGTCCAGTGTTCTTCCACTAACATGTAACAATCAATTCATAATCTATGTTGAAAGTTAGTGTTAAATGATCAAAATCAATTTTTATTTGAAAATTACTGCCCTTGATAATTTTATACACATGAAGTAAGTTCCATTTTATTTGTACTAATTCCATTAGCTTTTTTTCAGCTTGGTGTTCCATCATTTTAGATCTACACCAATAATATACCCAGGATGATGCTGATGCTGAAAGTAAAGGATGCTACTCTGAGAACCATTGATCTAGCTTTTGAGTACTTCCAATGCTTTTATGAGGACACAGCTGATTTGCATTTAGAAATTCTCACACAGAACATTAAATGTGGAACCAGAAACTTCCATTTCTTAATTTTTCCACCAAGAACAACAAAGAACAACTCTATTCCTTCCTACACATGGTAATCAAGTATTTGGGGGGGGGGGAACTCCCTCTCTTTAAACTTATCTTCTCCAAAATAAATATTATCAATTTAACTACATCCACTCTCTATAGCACTCACGACTTTCATCATTCCAGATGCTTCCCTATGAACACTATAGTTCATAATGTCCCCCTTAATATGTAGCACTTACCATTCAACATAATATAAACGTTTTAGACTGAATGTCAGACTGCATGTGGTTTATTACACCTCCTAATCAGTAATAATTCTACAACCACACTAGGTCTTTCAAGCAACCATACCCCAGCACTACCCAACTGCCAGTCTATGGACTAATACCCATCTTTGATGAAGTTTTCAGTGATCCAGAGTAAATGAGACCGAAACAGTGTAGTAATTTTCCCATCAACTAAATATTGGGCAGGGTGGGAGTGGGGGGTTAAATATTAAGGGATGGTGATGAAAGATGGTAGTCACAAAATAGAGTCACATTTTACCATATCTCTTAAATTATTGGTCTATGCCTAGAATACTCAGGTAAAAGGTTCATCTCATCCATCTTCTAATACCATCTATATAGCCAAGGGCTTAAAATAATTTCTATAATTTGCAACAACCAGTCACAACCTCCACTCATCACTCTTTTAATTTTTGGTAGCAAAGCAAAACTCTCAATGGACTTCAGCAAATGAAAGGGCTTCAAAGTGGTTTAACACTAGCTCCTAAGACCTCTCAGTTTCCTTTACCCACTTCCTTACTTGTCTTTGTAATTCTACATAACACTCAAACCCAGCCATGTAGACTACATCAAATTAAGAGAGATTTGGGATAATATAAACTTACAATCATTTGTTGCAGTTTAAATTACTGACCAATATTTGAACTACAAGTAAACTACAATATTTAGGACAGGGGATAGCAAACTATGGCCCATGGACCAAATCCACCTGTATTTTTGTGTAAATGAAGTTTGAGTGAAACAGAGCCACATCCATTCACATACATATTACCTATGGCTGCTTTTGTGCTACAAGTAGCAAAGGTGAATAGTTGGGACAGAGACTATATGGCCTGCAAACCCCCAAAATTTAGTATCTAGCCCTTTACACAAAACATTTGCCAACGTCTAATCTAGGGCAATAAACTATTTACTGCCAAAGAAAAATGTGTGACCTGCAAACAATAATCAATGACTAACTCTGGACATACCACCCACACTGGAGTATCTAAATATAAACACTGGGATATCTGAATAGTCCTTTATCCTACTCTGTATGAAGATTTGTTGCCCACCCAAGACAAAGCATTTACTTACCTGCTCACTGAGCTAATCTTTAACATACATTTCCCAACGCCTCACTAGTAGAATAGTGAAGAATCCATGAATATACTGCTCTGTGCAATCTACGGTTAAAAAAAAAGTTGCTGCAAATAACTCACAAGTACATAATAAAGAAGAAACTGTACAGAACTACATAATAATTTCCTTTACATTTTAGATTTCAAATACAAAACACTTTTAAGGCACTTAAAGTAGAAAAGCTTATTATTTAGGTAATAGTAACTGTATTGAATTATGCAAATTAATTTCCCTTTTGTGTTAAGACTTTCATTTTTATGTATGCAGAGTTGAAATTAGATAAAACTTCTAATCTAATTTAATCATGTAGCTTTTTAACATTTAAGTGACACCAGAATCTCTAAAGAATAGTCCCAACACTAAAATACTTTGATACTAAAATGTCCTTAAAAGATCACTTCCACATTTTACAGATGAGAATGTCTCAATAGAACACAAAATATTTATGGTAAGAGAACTCAACAGTGGCACAGACTGAACTAGAATCCAGTACTCAACTACCAGTTTGGAACTCTTTCTACTTCATAATTGAGTATGAAAGATACGCTCATATTCTAGGAAAGGGTAGAGTGATGGTGAAATATTCCAGAGTTTCAAATGCACAGTAAACATATTCACAGGGGTGTCACCCACTCAAGCTAAGCAATCCTCTCATGTTTTCTATTAATCAATCAACTACAAAATCACAGAAGGAAAAAAGAAATGTATTCACGGTAAAGCCACTCTTACTAGAATGATCAAAAGTACAACCAATTATTTGCTTAACAAATTGTCAAAAATTTAGAAAATAATAATCAATAGTGGAGAAGGGGAAGTATGATGGGTAGTCATGTATTGCTAATTTGGTACAAACTTTCTGAAGGGTAATTTGGCCATATTTTAAAGTGCCTAAAAAGTTCTCACCATCTAAACCAATTATCCCACTCCCATGAATATGTCCTTAAGAACTAGTCTAATATACAGTTCAAATTTCACATACAAAGATGTTCATCCCACTATTATTTATAATTGTGAAATACTAGAAACAATCTGATATCCAAAGAGAGAACTGGTTCGATTATGGTATATATTCATACAATAAAATATTAGGCAGCCATTTTTTAAAAATCACACTTTCCAAGATATGGGGGAGTACTTAGGAAGTTATAAAAAGTAGGATATACAACTATATGGTCAATATAATCTCAATTTTGTTATTATGCACACACACAAACACATATACACACTCATACATATAAATAGCATAGACAAAGACTGAGAGGAAATACAAAAAATATTAACAGTGTTATCTCTGGATAGTGAAGTTGCAGACAATTTTTTCTCTTCTTTATCCTTTTCAGTATTTTCTAAATTTTCTATAATAGTCATGTATCCATTTTATACTCAGAAAATAATAAAAATGCACTCTGTAGTCAAGTTTAAAATGTTTATAGTCTGTATAATAAATAAGGAATAAATATTTATGGTACTCAAAAGTATACCTAAGTGATGGGAAATAAATCATTAACGTGTACAAGTATAATTTCCATACACATATAGGTGGGTAATTTTGAATCCAAAACATTATTTTTTCTCAATTCTTGAGTATAGAAAGTTGATATTTAGTAACTAAGAAATGCAAATCTTTAAATAAAATTGGTGCAAGGCATCTAAAAATTGTGCTATTCTGGCATAAGACTGAAGATACAAATGCTCTCCAGTGTGATGTAGATACCCAGTGTTATACTGAAACAGGTATAATCTAATACATGCATGGTGGCCAATAATTAACTAATCAAATTATATATATTTATATATCTTTTCCCCCCGAAGTGACTAGGAATGGTCTATGCTAAAAAAAGAAATACAACACCATACCATTATTTTAGTTGGAAGAGCCGCACCAAAAATCATGACAAAAAAATTTGTAGAACTGTAAGAAAATCCAGTGGCTTTTTTTGTTTTTGTTATTGTTAATGATTTCTTGCTATAAATTCAAATAGAGAGTCAAACTGCTTAAAAGCACTACAAAGGCATAGCAGTAGTGTTTGGTCTGCAATGATTTGAAAATCACTAAGAATACTCTTCAACATTTCCTCATTTGCAGACTAGTGCCTATCAAACACAATCTTTGAAGGAAAGGACTACATCTACATTCTTTTACCAATCTTGAATTTATATCGTTACAATATAGTAATGACACAAAGTGATGTCACACACAAAAAGGCAAACTATATGTAATTTTAAAAGCTAACTTTAAAATATGATTCTATCTGTGATAAAAAAAATCACATAAATATGTAAAAAATAAAATACATCCTAACATATCTCTACATGAGCTGAAGTTTACCACTTTTAACATAAAAATTCTGAGATGGAATTAATAAAAAAACAATTTTCTTATGTACCACAGAGCAATAAGTTTAAATCAGACTATTTTGAGTTGTGTAGCCCTTTATTAGCAACTAAAATAGAAGGTATCTGTTGTACAACACGGGTAGTAATTGACTATAACTGGAGATTTATTATATTCTAATACAGATCATTTATAAATGCAATTTCTTTATTAAAAAGCTTCCACCCTTTTTTGTTTGTTTGTGTACAATTTGCAAAACTATTCTGAAAGCGGAATATATGTGCACAAGTCTGCAAAGAGTGCAAATTTAGGATATGGTAAATGCTTTACAAGTTACTCTCAAAAAAACTGTCTCCCACAACTGGGCCTTTACATTGCCATCTTTTTTGATCAAAATATTTTGATGCCAGCCTTCCTTCCACTGCCCTAAACTATAAAGCATTTTTTAATGAGTTGAAATTAAGGAAGGACTACACCTACTAGAAAAGAAGAGAAGAAAGTTCTATTAGTTTGAGGTTTCAGAATCCCCCCAAACCAGGACCAGTATCTTGGTAAGGGCTAGGCTGGGACCCCGGACAGAGAATGAGTATGTGCAGGTGGCATCCCTGAGGATTCAGAGCTTCAGTGGACCGTGAGTGCTCCCGCTGCATAACTCACTGAACTGTCTTGCCAGTTTCTACACTGGCTTGACTGGGCATAATTCAAAAAGGAAAAGCTCATATTCATTCCATTCTTCTGGAGCTCTGTGATAGCCTGGGGGGGGGGAAAGAAAAATTAGTTACAACAGACCTCATAATAAAAAAGTGAGTACTCTTTGAATGTGTTGGTGGCTTAACTTTGTCCGCTTCACAGCTGAAGCCTAGATTCTTTACTCTTCTCTTGATTTGTTTCTTGAATATCTTGTCACATATTAAATAGGTAAAACAGAGGACTCCTTATTTCATTCTCTCAAAGAACTTCTACTAACCTAGCTTCTTGATAAGTATCAGTCATCTTTCACCCTACCTTTATTATATTTAATAAGGCCACTTTCAAGAAAAATATACCTCTCTTTTCTCTAAACCAAATCGGAGCCACTTCTGTCATGAAATACTGGGGTCTCTTCTTTGTCTAAGTTTGACGAAATGTGAAATATATATATAAATTAAGTTCTAGATCTAAGAGGTAAACCAGGATTTTTACTTTAATTGTGGATTAGTTCATCATTTACTTTATTAAAATTTTATTTGCTCCAATTCAGACTTTAGGAAATTAGTGCAGCTTACCTAGTTTAAATTTCAAGAATTAGTTTAAAGCCCTGAACAGGCTCTTCTTCCAGCCAATACTGCTTAAGAGAAAACCATTCCTAAAAATCCACAATGTACTAAATCAAATCACACTAAACGAACACTGGACTCCAAGGTCCTACCCTACCCTGTTCTAGACTAACATTACCTTCTCCATGATTTCTCTGCCTCTCCAAACAATGAACACATTATTGCTTCCTCCTCTCATTCCTGAGTATATACACTTTCTTCTTTCTTAAAAAGTCTCACATTTTCTTTCAGGAATGCCATACTGTTTTATTTATTAGAGGAAAAATTATTGTTATTATCTCTTTCAAAAATCCAACTACCTGAAACTTCTGCCTCTTACTACTCTTTACATGAAATATTATTGTTATAAAGAGAAAAATATATACATGCCATCTGTCTTGTGTTACTAAATTATGAATATCTGAAGTTCAAGAACAGAATCTTCTGTTTATTTTTTATGGAGTCTAGAACATTAAATAAAACCAAAAAATTAATAAGGTTACTTATTACCAAAGGTTACTTTTGCTTCTATTTGTAAAGAACATAATGGCTGTGAGTCAAGAGAAAAACTAGGCTTCTATTCTAAATTATTTTTCTATATTTAAAAGAAAGCACTGGCCTGTCTTCCAGTAAAAACTTTATTCATGTAACCAAAATAATGGAAATCCAAATTATCTTAAGTGTACTAAAAAGAATATTTACTATATATACCTAAAAACAATGCTAATAAGGTAGCACAGATGATAATAATTAAGATATTTTGAAACATCACAGGATCAAATGTTAAAAATCAAGGCTTCCTAAGGATACTCACATTTAATAACACCCCAATGGGATGTCTTCCACATATAGTATTATGGTATTTCTTCAAGTAATTGCTAAAAGATACGGGGTCTAATTGTTCTATAATACTCATACCCTAAAAAAGGAAGAGAAAAAAGAAGATGAAAGACAAAGAAAAAGGTACATAATTTATTATTTTCTCATGACATTTTAAAACTGTTACTTAGAGCTAAAAACCATAATTTTTTAGTTAAAGAGAAGTAAAGAAAATACATTAAGTAATCCTTGTGAAATATCCAACTCATTCATCAAAGGTAATCTCATTATAGTCAACTCTAAACAATATGTATACTTTTAGTAACAGAACACTTCCAATCCTCAGTTTTAGTTTTTTCTGACCTCCTGGTATGTTTCTACAGCACCATCACCAGTTACCACTTGGGTCACAATCCTCAAACATTTCACAATTTTACATTTTTCTTATATAAATATATTCATGAAAGTAAATCTGCTGTGAAAATGTTCATATAAAATCTAAAATTAAATTTGACATATGGCTGGTTTTTCCCCATAACCACCATATTTCTCCTGCCACTGGCATAAATAATTAAAAGTTTATTATAATTTAGCTAATTCCATAACATACACTTAAACATAACATGCAAGGCATTCTGAATTATCAGTATGTGATAAAAAGATAGCACAAACTAAGAAAAAGCTACCATATTTTAATTAATTTAAAGCTCATAAAAGATAAATGCTTAAGCAAAATAGTCCTTCTTTGAATAGTTTTTAAAAATCTTTTTCGGGGCGCCTGGGTGGCGCAGTCGGCTAAGCGTCCGACTTCAGCCAGGTCACGATCTCGCGGTCCGTGAGTTCGAGCCCCGCGTCGGGCTCTGAGCTGATGGCTCAGAGCCTGGAGCCTGTTTCCGATTCTGTGTCTCCCTCTCTCTCTGCCCCTCCCCCATTCATGCTCTGTCTCTCTCTGTCCCAAAAATGAATAAACGTTGGAAAAAAAAAATTTTCAAAAAAAAAAAAATCTTTTTCTCTCTTTATACTTTCAACTATAATGCATTATTTTTAAGATTTTAATTCAGAATCAAAAATCTTATTAATATTATTAAAACAACCACTATGACTTGGACACTTATTCACACTAAATTCCATACTCTGCAAATGCATTTAAATAATGTGTTCATAGTACAATAATAGAGAGCACCTTTAATAAAGCAAATAAATCACTGATTCTCATTCATTCACCAATTACCTTACCTTGTTTTCTAATTCAGGTAAAATATTTTACATTTGTGTCCAACAGACTGGACTAACATACTCTGAGAGGAATGTAAATTGTGGTTTAACCAAGGAATCAACTGCTATATTTTGTGTGGTTTTTAAATCATATTTCAACAAGTTTTAAAACAACAGCAGTGGAAAAGCACCTAGAGTAATCAGATGAACACTCATCTGAAAAATGACAGTAATCACTAGATCAGTAGGTTGCATACAAGTACTGCAGTGGCAGCATGAAAATTTAGTTTTATAAAGAACCTGTTTTCAGAGTATTCAAGTCATTCATAAACATCATCACACTTTCCTGCAAATACATCTGAAAGATAGTTGTGTGTATGTAATCAACTTTCAATTGATTGCACATCAATTAGCCACTCTCAGATCTGTCCACAACCAGTGTTTAATGTGCTAAGTTGTTTTCCCTTACAGACCAGGAGGCTTCCAGGTCAACAGTCTCCAGTGACATATGGTGCAAGTTCAGAGAAATATGAACAAAAACTTAAACCTAAGATAAACAATTAGTATCATGACTCTGGTAGAAAGAAAATGACACAATATATTTCCAAACCAAGTAGTAATGCAGAGATGGAGTTACAAATCTCTTCCATACATATGGATAATCAAGATATAACTTCCTACAAGATGAAGAAACTGAGGCATTAAAAAAAAAAAAAAAAACAGTTAAAAGCTTGCCTCTAAATTTCTAATCTGAGGCTCTTTCTCACTGACTTACTCTGCTTCATATAGTATAAGAGACATAAAAACAATTCTTTAAATACTCTCACATAGTTGTAACTGGTACACACATTTTGAGAGAACTTTTATTGTTTCTGGATGAAGTTGGGACAGCTTACCTTAAATAGAATTCTAGTCATTAGCAAATTAGGCAACACTGAGGTTCTATGTTTTAATATTAAAATCTTAATGTACATTTTGAACAAACTTATCACATTTATATATTGACATGAAGAATTCAAAGAGAAGAAAACTTAATGCTCAAATTTGTTAAAGACAAAGAATTCAAAATGGCTGGCCAAGAAGCTTCATAGAGAAAGATATAAAGTTATACATGTAGAGAAGACACTACTAAATAACGTGTTCAAAATTAAGATATAATGGTTAAATTACAGGAGGGAAAAGAAAAAATTGAGATGATGAAAACTAAGGGATTAAAATTAAATTTTTAATTCCCTAAAGTGTGTTATATACCTACTAGGACAAGAATCAATTCCATTACAATCAATTCTCTGACAAATAAAGATAGTGAAAGGGTATGCACTTTTATAAAGGGATACAGAGAAAAAATAAGGCTTTTCTCATGAGTGAAAGTCTCCAATTGGAAAATTCATAAAGTATTGCAAACAACAGCAATAATGATAATGAGAAAGAGGATATCCATTAAGTAATACAGAACATTGGCATATATTCTTTTGTATATATTTATATTTTGATGCTAACAATTTTTAAATTACTGTTACCAAAATTCCAAGGAGATGAAAATGCTAATTTAATACTACTGTCAAAATTCGCAGAAGATGAAGAAACTAAGTGCTTCTCAAATATGCTTAATCTTCTATTCCCTAAAATACTAGAAGATATGATCAAAGAATCTGAAGTCCAGGTGATGAAAATCTTGCCTAGGGCCTAGCACATTGAGAATCTGTTGGCATGAACTTAAATCTAATATGAAGCAGTGAGGATTTAAGATACAAAATAAACATCATGAACTCCAAAAGCCTATATCCATCACGATGTGGGTTTCTGAGAAATCTAGCAGCTTCAGCAAGAAATCCTCAGACTGAAAGCTAACTCTCTACCTTGAGGGGGGACAAGGGCACAGGGAATCTATCATTATGCTGACTCTCCAAGTAATGAGTAAAAAAGCCTGTAATGTCAAATCCCAAGTGGCAATCCTAAACTGAATACACAGTTTTAACTGACAAAGCTGAAAATTCAGGACTCTGATTAAGACAACAAAAATCTGGGGCGCCTGGGTGGCACAGTCGGTTAAGCGTCCGACTTCAGCCAGGTCACGATCTCGCGGTCCGTGAGTTCGAGCCCCGCGTCGGGCTCTGGGCTGTCAGCACAGAACCCCATGCAGGGCTCAAACACATGCACTGGAGACCATGACCTGAGCTGAAGTCGGATGTGTAACTGATTGAGCCACCCAGGTGTCCCAAATTTAATTTAGTTTTAAATATTATCACCCAGAAGCAATCTCCCTCTAAAGTAACAAGCACAAAAAAGGAGCAAACGTTTTTAGAGGACTTTAGGACATAAGAACTAAAACCATGTCTTTTTATTACTACAAACACACAATTAATCCCATATTATCATTGAGGCCTCATTTTTCTAAAGTAAGGATATATATATATTAGAGAGATGAGTACACATTTAGGGAGGCAAGGTAAGAAAAGGAAATATTCTGCTTTCTGTAAGAGACGACAAGATAAAAATCTTAGAGTGAAAGAAGTTTTATGGGGGAAAAAATCACCCTAAAGACAGTAGTGCTAAGAAGCAACATACTAATAAATAGCTCTCTTAAAAGAAGATACTATAAAACCTTGGCCTAAGTTCAAGAAAGAATAGGAGTAGACAAATATGAACAATTTCACTTACAAAAGAATAGGAAGAAAAGTAGCTCAAGTTCAAATTAAATGAAAGGACTACTAATAAATTTGGAAGGAAAATACATTACAAAGATGGCTACAATGACACTTTCAGATCCTCTTTGCTGAATCGTAAATAAGCTGGAAATGTCCATAATGACACATTGGTCTACACCAATAGTGGTACAGAAAAAAATTACGTTATGTGACATATATAAGGTATGTATGTATGTACTTATGTATCTTTAATGTTTCTAGTAAATAATCTCCAAAGTACACAAAAATCAATGTCTTAAAGTATGTTCTGCTTTGGTCACTATGGTTACTGAAATTGCAAAGTACTAATTACCAAAAACATAATCAGGAGCCAATACTATTGTAACACTTCCAGAATCTATATCTCCTGTAACTAGTTACTTTTTTTTTCCCCAATTACAACATCTGGAAGATCCAGTTTATTTTCCTATATATTTTTCTTTACATATCTTTTTCACATAATTCAATTCCAAGATATTCAAATTTTAGAGATATAATTATTTTGCAATAAGAGGAAAAGCTGTTTTTCTTCTGCTTTTGGAACCTAGAAACCCTTTTACTTACTTTAGTAACTATATGTAATAAGATTTTCCTGATAACAAAAAAAGAGCCAAAACTTTATTACACACTAATTTTGAACAGATTGTACCTAAAATTTTATAAATAGTTTTTCATTTTATCAAACTTCAAAAGGCATAATAATTACAATTCAGAATTGCTAACATTTGCTAATACATCTAGAGAACCATCCAATTATATTTGCTCTCAAAAGATTGCACACATAAACTAAAATATGGTTCTCGAATGAAATAATTTATAACATAAAATGGCACTTTGGAAAAGGAATATACAGAGGGATATTCACCATTTGGTTATATAAGTCAGTTAAAAATCAGGTTATATAAGAGTCTAACAGTGAGTGTACATATATACATATATGCATAAAGACATACATACGTGATTATATGTATGGAACTAGCCATTCTGATTATCTCAACCCATTTACTCCAATCCCCCAGAATTGACTTATAACTTGAATTTAGAGCACGCTAATAAAGGAACGGAACACTTATGAGCCATTTAAAAATTCTATAAATAGAAAGGGACCACAAAAATCAGACTCTAAGTCAACTATCAAATGAAATATCAAATTCAAACATATTAATAAGAAGCAAATACTCAATATTCAGTAATTGTA